TCTGTGTCACCCAGATCCCACACGACCCTTTATTGTGGAAATTGACGCTTCTAATTCCGGTCTCGGAGCCATCCTGTCCCAAAGATCCCCTACTACGAATAAGCTTCATCCCTGTGCATTTTCCCGTAAACTGAATTCTGCTGAGAGAAACTATGATGTGGGTAACCGAGAACTTCTCGCCATGAAGGCTGCACTCGAGGAATGGAGACATTGGCTTGAGGGAGCAACACACCCGTTCACCGTCATTACTGATCACAAGAATTTGGAGTATATTCGTTCATGTAAATGCCTGAATCCCAGACAAGCCCGATGGGCGTTGTTCTTCACCCGATTTGACTTTCAAGTCACCTACATTCCAGGCTCCAAGAATATTAAGGCGGACGCCCTCTCTCGTATCTCTAACGAGGAAACTTCGCTAGAGGAGGTAGAACCCATCCTTAAGGACCCGTTGATTATCGCACCCATTAGATGGGACATCGAGCATGAGATCACGCAGGCTTCCGAACAAATTCCTACTCCGCAGGCATGTCCCGAGGATAAAATATATGTGCCTCCCATGCTCCGTGAGAAGTTGATCGCTGAAATACACAGTCACCCCAGTTCAGGTCATCCAGGCAGCACTGCTACGGCTCAGATGATTCAGTCTCTGTACTGGTGGTCCTCCCTGAATAAAGACGTGATTAACTTTCTGAATAAATGTTCTCCCTGCCAAATGGCTAAACATTCCCGTCATCGTCCAGCTGGCTTATTACAACCTTTGGAGATTCCCCGTCGACCCTGGTCTCACATAGCCATAGACTTCATCACGGATTTGCCCCTATCACAAGGAAAAACCACTATCCTAACAATTGTGGATCGCTTCTCCAAAGCCTGTCGACTCATTGCCATACCCAAGCTACCCACAGCCCTCGAAACCGCAGAGCTTCTGTGTGAACATGTATTTCGCTATTATGGTCTTCCCGAAGACATCGTCTCAGACCGAGGTCCCCAGTTTACATCCCGATTATGGTCAGCCTTTTTCCAGAACCTCCAGATCAACATCAGTCTAACTTCCGGCTATCACCCCCAGTCTAACGGACAAACTGAACGCCTTAATCAGGAGATCGGGCACTTCCTCCGCACATGCTGTCACGCTAACCAATCTGACTGGAACAAGTTCCTAATGTGGGCGGAGTACGCACAAAACTCCCTGAGAAAGGCAGCCACAGGTCTAACCCCGTTTTAATGTGTATTAGGTTTCCAACCTCCCCTGTTTCCCTGGTCCAGTGAGACCACTGACCTTCCCGCAGTCGATACGTGGTTCAAGAGTAGTGAGAAGGTTTGGAACGCAGCTCACACTCATCTGTCACACGCTATCCGAAGGTTTAAAGAACAAGCCGATCGTCACTGTCGTCCTGGTCCCACGTATTCCCCAGGACAGTGGGTATGGCTATCTACAAGAGACCTTTGCTTGAGACTCCCCTGTAAAAAGCTCAGTCCCAGGTACGTGGGTCCTTTCCAAATAGAGCGTCAGATTTCACCTGTTTCCTTTCGCCTGACTCTCCCTAACCATTATCGCATTTCTCCTACCTTCCATGTTTCCCTGCTCAAGCCTGCTGTTGGTCCAGCCGAGGCGGATAGGGAGGTGGCAGCCGGTGTACAGGGTCCCCCGCCTCTCATGATCGACGGAGAGGAAGCCTATAAGATCCACGAGATCCTGAGATCCAGACGCCGGGGTGGTCAACTGCAGTATCTCATCGATTGGGAGGGGTACGGTCCGGAGGAAAGATCATGGATCAATCGTAAGGACATTCTTGATTCTACACTACTGGATGAGTTCCACTTACAGCACCCGGATATGCCGGCCCCTCGCCCCCGTGGAAGACCCCGGCGTCGAGACTCTTCTCACTTCAGGAGCCGTTCGTTGGGGGGTTTAATTTATAACTTCATATTTTTTTTTGATTTTTTGCTTTATATGAATTATTGAATTATATTTATTGAATTATAAGCCCCGTGAATTAAATTAAGTATTTGCCCTTCAAGACTTAATATTAAATTTAAAGACTTTAAAAGAAATAGACGTGTCACTGACTCGGTCCCAGTCATTCCCCTCGCTGGCCAGCAGAGGCCACCATCTCTGGACTTCTAAGCATTACATCATCCTTTCACCTTGATCATGCTCAGCTGAAGTCAATCCCACTAATGACCCACGTACCCGTTATAAGCCAGCACCAAACGCTCATTCATTGCGAAGTCTTGTTTAGCCCCGGCCAGCATTTCTGAGCGTTATTCCTGCCTGATTCTCTGTGTATTACTCCAGCCTGTTTATTGACCCTGCTTTGCCTTCTGCCTGCCCACGACCCACGCTTTGTATACAGACTCTGACACTCACTGCCTGCCAACGAACCACGCCTGTTATACGGACTCTGATGTTTGCTATCTGCCCACGACCCACGCCTGGTTCACGGACTCTGATACTTGCAGCCTGCCCCCGATCTATGCCTGGTAATACCCACTGTGTCTATCCATCGCCAGTCTTTAGTCATCATAGACTGCTGTTGTTGTGTGTTTGCACGTTAGTGCATTTTGTGTGTGTGTGTGTGTGTGTGTGTATGAGAACTTGAGCATTAAATATTGCATAATGGATCCCTCCGTGTCAGTCTCCTCGTTACAAGACAATGACCAAATGAGTTAAAAAAACACTGAAAAGTGTTTCGCTGACTATATGTAAACAAATAAATATATTTCACATTTAATATATACATTTTTAAATATTCATTTCTTTTTCAACAATGTAAAATTTAACATTTCATCTCAATGTCAGTGACGCGGTGGTGCAATAGGTAGCACAATCGCCTCACAGCAAGAAGGTCGCTGGTTCGAGCCTCGGCTGGGTCAGTTGACATTTCTGTGTGGAGTTTGCATGTTCTCCCTGTGTTCGCGTGGGTTTCCTCCGGTAGCTCCAGTTTCCCTCAGTAAATTCCAAAGACATGCGGTACAGGTGAATTGGGTTAGGTAAAATTGGCCATAGTGTATGTGTGTAATTGAGTGTGTATAGGTGTTTCCCAGTGATGGATTGCATCTGGAAGGGCATCCGTTTGGCAAAACACATTGATAATTGGCGGTTCATTCTGCTGTGGCTCCCCCGGATTAATAAAGGAACTAAGCCGAAAAGAAAATGAATGAATCTCAATGTCAAGAAATGCTTATAAAATCATCACATTTACACACATCTCAATTTTGTGTTGTGCAGCATTATTTAGCTGACTCTGATTTTGTGTGATTTTGTCTTTCTGGTGTTTCCCGCTGTCAATAGTGCAGTCCGGCGAAATGACAAAGAAAGCTGATCCTGATTGGTCCTCGTGGGTGCATTAAAAATGCTGATTGGCTCACAGAAAGAATCTTAACGAACCAAGCTAGAGTTCGACTTTGTAGATAAAACCTTTTGTTGTTTGTTAAATAAAAAAATCTTAAAATGTAAAAAAACATATAAAAAAACATCACATAATGTAAACAAGTTGTCATTTATTAAGAATGTCAATAACTCAATTTTGACAAAAATGTCAGATAGAACCTTATAATTCTAAGCTGACGATATGTAATGATATTAAATATAAATACATGCAATGATGCAAAGATGAAAAGGCCCCATTCATATTTCTTATAAAAAACGCCTAGAACGTGTCAATTTTAAAACAGTACTACTGCTAATAGTTGTGTACTGGACTAGGGATGTAGTTTTGAACACTAGACTTACAGATATTAACATTTCAGTTTTGTATTCATATATATTTGTTATGTAATACTTTATTTTAAAAATCCCCAAAACCCTGTTTACAACTGGCCATGTGACAACATTGGAATGGTACAGTAGGGAGTGAGTGCATGTTCTGGCTCATGTGCTCAGTAGTTATTGGACAGTTATTATTGGCAGGGTGTGGATACAAAGTAATTTGGTGTAATACATGTACTAATGAAGCAAGAGGCACGCATAACTGTGCTTTCCAAAACAAGCGAGACACACAACAAAGCAAAGACAAACTAACAGAGCTGAATAGAGTTTGCAGCTCACCAGAGGATTCAGGCCAGGGATCCGCTTGACCAGTGTGTGACCCTGGTGTGTGGATAGCTGGAGCTGTGCAAATGTCTTTTCAAAGGCACGTCTGCAGATGGTGCTTGCCAGAGCTCCAAGCCTGCTGAAGATCGGCATAGGGTCAGAAGCTCCAACATAAGACTCCTGTTGCTCTTCTGTACTCCTATCATTCTCTGCAGGAAAAAATAAAAATCTAAATAGTGAGGGAGGGCAGCACGGTGGCGCAGTGGGTAGCACAATCGCCTCACAGCAAGAAGGTCGCTGGTTCGAGCCCCGGCTGGGTCAGTTGGCATTTCTGTGTGGAATTTGCATGTTCTCCCCGTGTTTGCATGGGTTTCCTCAAGGTGCTCCGGTTTCCCCCCACAGTCCAAATACAAGTGGCATAGGTGAATTGAATAAGCTAAATTGGCTGTAGTGTATGTGAGTGTGTGGGTTGCGACTGGAAAGGCATCCGCAGTGTAAAACGTACTGAATAAGTTGGAGGTTTATTCCGCTGTGGGACCCCTGCTTAATAAAGGGACTAAGCCGAAAAAGAAAATGAATGAATGAGCGAATGAGTAATTGTGAGGGACAAAAAAGTGAAATGGTTGTATTTTGTGATCTCTTTACAGCTATTTAAACAGCATATCCTAATTACTCACCCTTTGTGACAACAAATGACTGCATTTTTTATTGTCAAGAAAATATTTTACTTACCAAGGTTGCATTTTTTATATAAAAAATACATTAAAACTTATAGTATTGTAATTATTATTACTATTATTATTATTTATTTATTATAAATTTTTACAATTTACAAAAGCTGTTTTCTATTTGAAAATATTTTAAATGAACCTTATTTATGTAATGCCAAACTGAACATGCTATAATTACAATATACTATGGGACAACAACTACAGAGCAGCATTTGTAAAAACAAATGAATACTTTTATTCAGCAAGTGTATATTAACTAGTCTAAAAGTGATTTTTAGTGCTTCACAAAATTATCACCATGTGATAGCATCCCCTTAACCTGATTTCACCATGTTTCTGGATTAACACCTATGTTATGATCCTGGAACAACATTTCAATAAGCCAATCTAAATTAATATTCGTTTACCATTTATGTTAAGTTTAGGCTTGCGGTTAGGTTTATGCACTTCTACATGATCGTTATCCAATTATTATTTTCCTCCGATTTTGGTAATATTTTATAGTTATGGTTGGGTTTATGGGTAGGGAATAGGTATAGGTATTTTCGAGCAAAAATGATGTTCCAGGATCAACACAAATGTTAAGCCAGGATCGCACCGTACAAGGCAAAATCATGGCGTGCCATAACATCATGTGACTAGAGCAGGGGTGCTCAAACTTTTCGTTTGAAGGGACAAAAACCAAATATCATTGAGAGCCATGAGCCAAAATTTTAAAAACAAATCAAAAACATTACTTTAAATCGTATTGACTAATGCGAATATTTTTAAATGATAACGTACTACAATAAAAACATTTATAACACAGTGGAGGTTAATGTTGAATACACTAGTCAAGCAGAACTGATTTGCGTACTGATGTCTCTGCATTGTACTCGATCGGTCGGGTGACATGAAGTACATTTAAAAAAAAATGATTTATGATTTATTTACAACATTTCATTTAAACTTTTCATATTTCATTTAGTTTTTTGTAGTTTTACAATAAAACAAACAAACAAAAAAGGTTACATTTAATTAGATATTACAGTGTCCAAACCATCCTCCCTGTCTTAAGTCTCCTTCTCTTCTCAGATGGGATGGTGGGCCAAATCAAAGGTGACCGTGGGCCAGCTTTGGCCCGCAGGCCCTAGTTTGAGCATCTCTGGACTAGAGCAATGATATTTAAAATTCAGCTTTAAAACCACAAGAATACATATTACGTTAAAATATTTTTAGATGAAAACTTTGACTGCAACCTGTTAAATATATTTTTGTTGTATTTTTGACCAATGCAGTTTTGGTGAGGCTAATAATAAAGATATATAACTAATCAATTTTGTCAGCAACAATAATGTTATGTCCATGTTTTTTTGTTTTGTTTTTAGCACAGGTTTTTCGGAGACAGCATGGCTCACTACTGTGTCATGAATTCCTTCAGGCAAGGAAATGACAAAAGCACAAAGCTGGCGGAAGTGAAGAGAACTTCTTTGTGGTCTCTTCAGGGCAGATTTAGGGATGATGTGAATGAGTAAGGGTTAAAAAGAGAAGTTCCTCAGGAAGCACTTCCTCTTGCTGTATAAACAGAACAAACAGCAGCCAATGTAATAAAGAGGCACATGTCCACTGATTTCAGGGCTTCTCGCTCGATATCCTACCTTAAATGCATTCCAATTCAATTTACCAAGCCAGACAAAACACACACTAAACAGATTTTGTCTGCTGAATGTACCATTAAATGTGCCCGGAGAAAGATACAAGCAAGAAAAAAATGCTCTTATCATATCGGGATAGAAATAACCAGCAAGATGTTGCTTCTTTAAGCACACGTGAGGAAAGAATTAGCAGTTCAATACACTTTTACACTCAGAGATAAACAAAAGAGAAGGGAAAAACAGGCTTCTTTCAAGGAAATCGGGCAATCATTGCCTCTGAGCAAAAGGCTGCAAATGTCACTATGCCAAACAGTTATTACAGTAATTGTATAATATATTATAATACCATGATATGTTAAAGCATAATAGCATAATTAAAATTTTTTTATGATACTGTAGTGTCGTTTGAGTTGGCATATCTGTGTGGAGTTTGCATGTTCTCCTCATGTTCGTGTGGGTTTCCTCCGGGTTCTTCGATTTCCTCCACAGTCCAAAAACATGCACTATAGGTGAATTCAATTAACAAAATTGGCTGTAGTGTATGTGTATGAATGTTAGATTGTATGGATGTTTCCATACACTCTAACCGCAGGCCCATTTCACTGTGGCAAACCATGATTAATAAAGGGACTAAGGCAAAGGAAAATTAATGAATTATTGATACTGTAGCAAATAAAAACTAAAACCATTTTCTGCAATCAAATTAAAATGTATTAATCAATGTAAGACATAAATAAAACAAGAAATTCTAGTTAAAATGTAAACATTTGAAGGTAAAGATAAAAAAGTTAAACACTAAATTAATTACAATTACCTGAAAATTGTAATGAAAAAAAAAAAAAAAAAAAAAAAAAAAAAAAAATATATATATATATATATATATATATATATATATATATATATATATATATATATATATATATATATATATATGCAACATATAGCATTTTTGATTTATTATTATTTGATTTATTTCTATTTTTGATTTATTTATATTTATTCTTATTTTGAATAAAAATGGTGGTGCAGTGGGCAGCAATGCCGCCTCACAAAATTTTATTGATTGTTTTGATAAAATTTTTAATTTATTATTTTATTGTTTTGCAGAAACAACTTTGTAGATTTTTGATTTGTAGATGTTTAAATTTAAAAAAATGAAAATAAGGATAAAAAGTAATAATAATAGTAATTCTACTAATATGAATGACATATTATTTATTTAGGAAATTATTTGTTAATCAATAACAGTAAAAATATATGTGTTTTTATTCATTAGACAATCCAGTGAGCAAATCCATCCTTCTGTTAAACCTTAACAGTTGTTCTTTCTATCTTTAAATAAACATGCTTTAATAATTTTAGTTTAAGAGAGTATTGCCCTCTTAACAGACATCAAATACAAACTCTAGGGATCAGCTCAAGGCAAAGTTCAAAGCCTAAATAGTTTAGCTCCATCAAATAACAAAAGTATGCAGTTAAGAATAACTGAATGTCTCGGTGGAAAAGATACTGAATAATGATGTGATGAATCACCCTCTTTAAAAAATCCTCTTAACAAATGATGCAATTTCAGACCATGAATGTGAATACGTGCTGGAGGACACATCTCTGCAACGGAAAGGCACACACTGCATGTTTAAAGATGAAAAATTACAATAAACAAACAGCAGAGAAGAAACAAGGCAGCTATAGTTCTTCCAATGGATCAACATTTATTAAATCAAACTTTGTCCATGGCTCTAAGACTTTAACCACAACAGTACAGTACAGCACAGTACAATGCATCAGCGGTTCCCAACAGGGGGGGGGGGGGGGGGGGTGGGGTGGGTCCCAGCCCACAAGGGGGCCTCAGCGAGCTCTGTGGGGGTCTTAGCAGTGGACAATTAGAAGAATGACCATGTTGCCTTAGCTCATTTTATCCCCTAGCTCAGTGGTCCTCAACCATCGGTCCTTGAATGAATTGGTACCAGGCTGCACAAGAAATCAATAATTATTTCTGTTTTATTATTATTTGAGTCTAAACAATCTTTTATTTTGAAAAGTTTTTTATTTCGAAAAATTATCGTTTTTTCTCGCTTATATCTCGGTCACTTTAGCACCCAAATTAAACCCAAAAGCAGCAAAATGAGTAAGAAACAGACATCTCTGGAAAGTTTCTTTGCCAAGGGGAAAAGGCCAAGTAAAGGAACTGCCAAGGAATGGATCCGCAGCCCATTTGTCAACAAATCAGGTGAATCAAGCCTCTCTGTGCAAGAAGATCAACTGATGGAGATTACAAATGACGGCTGCCTTCTAGGGGCCGTTCACATATTGCATATTATTAGAATTTGCACAAGCTTGTTGTTTCCAATAGAGGTGCGTGGTATGCGCACATAAGCGGCGTGACATGCTCGCACCAATAAACCACAGGCCGCAAACGCATCGCAAGTCAAGTGACAAGAATTTACCGATCAGCTTTAGCTTCTATGGAATATTCACATTTCTGTAAGATTAGTTTTGTCAGACAAACACAGAACACACCAACACTGCAGTGTTTTGTACTTTTTTCAATAAATAAAACTGAGCGACAACAATGTTTTTTCAGCTTGTCATCTTCTGAGAAAACGGTTAATAGTCGCCTAGCAACGTACAAAACACTGAAAATTGTCAAGCGTTGACTGCTCCGCGGTGATAAACAGGTTAAGGACCACTGCCCTAGCTGACCAAAAATGGACAAATTTGTAATACGTCCTCCACAAAAAAAGACTCACTGATTCACCTGGCAGCAGTCCTCACACTACTTGATAGAGCATAACAAATAACATGCAAGTATTAAATTGTAATAGCCTATATTGTTTTTTTCCC